TAAACGACTCTTGGCTAGTTGTTAGTCAGTGTGCAAACCAGCCCAATGCTCTGATTACGCTCTCTGCGAACCCCACACCCTGCGCCTGACTGGAGTGCCACATCCTTGAGGCTCCCACCGGCCGGTCAGTGCGTGCTGGCTGTCAGCCTCAAAATCAAAGCCGCAAGGAACAAGTAGATTTGCATCTTTTAAAGGCCTGCCAGTGAATTATAAAAGGTGAGACTATGCCACTTACTTGTGGCGATATTTTATAATAAATGTGAAATCATCTGAACTGTAAGAACACTTGGTCTTTTCCTGCCGCGCAGTGGGCGCCATTAGATGGAGCATCCGCTCTCCCGGCAGCGCGGTCGGAACCCAAGGAGCTCCAGGTGCTGCAGGGAAGCGCCAGGCCGGGCAGTGCTGCCTCCCCAGCTCCACGCCCCGTGCGCAGCGCCCACCGCCTCCTGAGGGGCCGTGAGAAGGAACCGGGAAGACTGGAAGCGCTGAAAGCAGTGCCTGGCGCAGAGGGAGGGCGATCTATGTGAACAGCAGAGGTCCCACGAGAATGATTTTAAACCCCAGTTTCCCGAGAGGTATTGTTCTGTGAGCATTCAGGGAGATTCCATTCCTAAATCAATCATCCCATCACCTGGTTAGCCATGCGGAATCGGGCTGGGCCCAGAGAATCCATGTGTTAATCAGACGCCAGGGGCCCGTGTGTGCCGTTTACGAAGCTCTGCTAGGCTACCTCATGGCACCCGTGGCACTGGCCTGGGCAGTGACAGACGGCAGGAGTCACAGCCTGTCCACGCACTGCGCCCTGAGGCCCCTCGCCAGTCTCCCCCGGTGCACACTGCACCCCACCTTGCCAGGACCCACACAGCAGCCCTGGATGAATGGGGCAGCGGCTGCCCGACAGCCGTTAACATGGGAGACGCTGCTGAGCGTGAGAAAACACAGTGCTCTACTCCGATCCCCACAGCCCCCCTACAGCCCTCAGCAGAGTGCACTGCGGGATCGGCTCCCAGAGCCCAGCGTTCACTCAGTAAGCATTCCGATTACCTGCCATGCTCTAAGCTGGAGGCTAAGCACTGCCGTTCGACCGTGAGAGGACTGTCACCAAAAAGGCACGCGTGATACTGAAGCAGCAATGACAGGAGTTGGATGGGACACTGGAGCAGGGTCCCCACTCGGGACCACAGGGCCTCCCAGAGGGTGCCCTCTGCTCACTCCCATAGGGGAAGGGGCAGGCCGGGGGGCGCTGGCAGAGGCTGGGCACTCGGGGACTCTGGGTGGACAAAGGGAAAGGCAAGGCAGCAAGAAGCTCAGAAACGCACTTCCCTTGGGGGAGGGGCACAGCTGGACCTCGGGAGCCCCCAAAGCCATCGCTAAGAAACCTAGACGCGGTTCTGGGGCAGCGGAGAGCCCTTGGCAGGGGCTTGAACCCAGAGCGCCATATCAATGCGAATTCACTCTGCGCCCTGAACGACACTCCGAAGCCAGTGTATTCCAGGGCTGAGGGCAACACTGACAGCCCCTTGCCACCACAGAGACGGCATGGGAACACCTTAAAGCCCCCGTACATGATTCCCGTGGCCGGCACTGTTGGCACCCTCCACAGCGTTGGAATGCACTCCTGTTACTGCCCAAGGTTTCCCTCCCCCATTCTTCTTAATGGTGTGCATGAGTCAGGAACACCGACAGACTGTGGGTGCTCAGTTCCCACGAGGCACACGGGCGCTCGCCCTGAGCCCCTGGGAAGGAGTGGGGAAGGGGAGACGTGAAATCCTTACAGGGGGTCCAGGCCAGCATGCAGACATGAAAGGCACTTGCTCAGGTTGCATCAAATGAGTGGGCGGCATTGTCATCATTGTTTCTAATTCAGTCTAAGGGTCACGGGCAGTGCCTGCTTCCCCTGAGAGCTGGAGGTAGACATCCCAACGTGCACAGCCCGGTCCAGTCACTGTATGTGAGAGTCACTGCTGAGCCCACGCCAGGGAACTGAAGGCACTGGCCAGCGAGATCCGCGCACAGCCGCCGAGGGGTCCTGTTGGCCATCACTGACTGCTGCAACCTTTTCCATTCCCCACAAGAACAGCTACCTTTCCCCTTTCCTAGCACCTTCTGTGAGCCAGACACTGGGCTCGACCTTTTGTAGTCATTATTGCTTAGCAGGAATCGTCAAAATGCTGGACCAGTCAGAGGGGACTCGGTGGGACTAACCAGAACCAATGGGAGCGGACTAAATGTCAGCCGACTTCCCCAGAGGCCGCACACTCACCATCCACAGCCTCAGACGGCTTATGGATGTATTTGATTCGGCCGGAATTATGTTTAATTTTTAAAAATTTGTTGCCCAGCTGGTGTGGCTCAGTGGTTGAGCATCGACCTATGCACCAGGAGGTCATGGTTCGATTCCCGGTCACAGCACATGCCCCAGTTGTGGGCTTGATCCCCAGTGTGGGGTGTGCAGGAGGCAGCTGATCAATGATTCTCTCTCATTATTGATGTTTCTCTCTCTTTCTCCCTCTCCCTTCCTCTCTGAAATTAATAAAACTATGTTTTATAAAAATAAAAAATAAAGTCTGTTGCAAAGATATAAAAAAATAGTGAGATTTCACATAAAAATGCTGACGAGGACGGACCAGTGCAGTGCCTGCTTCCTTGCACAAGAGGCCCGGACAGCCCAGACAAAGGCAGCACTGCGGCCTAATATGAAAGACTGCAATACCAGTGGTGGCCACCAGGCCCTCCTGCTGGCCGCTGGGAGTGAACACCCGTTGAGCCTTCTTGGTACCTGGCGCTCTGCGGTCGGCCTCTGGCCCCCTCCCCTGAGCACCCTTCCATTGCCTGCCTTGCCTCGGAGGCAGCTGAGCTGTCACCCAGACTGGGCAGGAAGCAGTGTCTTCCTCTTACAGAGATTCTCTCTGGCCACACTCCCAGCCTCTGCCTGGCCCCACCCACAGGCTCTGTGATGCCAACACCGCTGGTCAGGAGGCCACACGGAAAACCACTGCCCTACAACCAAAGCCTGAACCCCAACGTCGCTGGGCTCAGAGCCGGCGGGCATGGGAGCGTTTGCATTCTTCCTCTGGCCCACTGAGGAGGGGATCCCCGTTTTGAGATGCCATAAATGGCCCCCAAAACTCCAATGAGTGGTGTCCACCTCCAGTTTCCTGAACGGACAACCCATTCTTCTCTTCCAGACTGCCCTTGACTTCTTCCCAACTGGTGTAATAAAAGCGATGCTGCTGCCTGTGACTTGCAGGCCCCTCTCCAGCCGCAAGTGGACAGACGGGCACTCTAAGCAATCGCATCAGCAGGACGCGACCCCGTGCCCCTCAGAGATGCTGCGCCCGAGACCCTGAAACTCATTATCAACTGTCCTGTGCAGGCGCACACTGAGCGCTTTATGCATAGACGGTCCTCCCTGTGTTACAGAAGATGACGCGGAGGGGCCGAGGGGCGCTCACTCATCCAAGTCCACCATCGCTAGAGTCCTCAAGAGTGTGTTGGGCCCGCTGTATCCGCCGAGAGTCAGACACTGTTAGGAATACTGAGCTCAGTCCTGTGTATCTTAGATGAGTGTTGATTACCTGGAGGACAATAGGCACTTGGAGGTGATGTCATATGAGACATGCTTGCAGGTACATGTATGTGTGAGTGTGTGTGTGTGGCGGGAGGGGCCTGCCTCTGAGCACCAGGAGATGTCCAGATGGAAGCAGGACTCACCGGGGCTGCTGTCTTCTAATCGTTTGGGACGTGCATGACTGGGGCGATGAGAGGTCATTGGGAGACTTTCTCAAACCACCTGCCCTTGGCCCCGGGCATTCTGTGCCTCTGCCGGGCCAGACTGTGAAGCCTGGCTCCGTGGTGCGCTGGCTGAGTGACCTCACAGCCTCCATTTCCTCTGCCATTACAAGGAGGAGCAGGTCGTTGTGAGAACTTAGACCAGCGGTTCTCAACCTGTGGGTCACCACCCCTTTGGCGGTCGAACGACCCTTTCATAGGGGTCGCCTAAGACCATCCTGCATATCAGATATTTACATTACGATTCATAACAGTAGCAACATGACAGTTATGAAGTAGCAACGAAAATAATTTTATGGTTGGGTCACAACATGAGCAACTGTATTTAAAGGGCCAGAAGGTTGAGAACCACTGACTTAGATGCTGCATGTGAAGTGCCTAATACAGTGCCTGGCACATAGTGAGTGGCCAGAAAATTGATAAAAATGTGTACCATGACCATGGTCGTTTCCTTCACACCCGAGTCCCTGACACCTGCAGGTTTCTATGACAACGTTTATGTTCACTTTCAGCCTCAGTCAGCAGTTTTACAGCCCATAGTAATGCCCCGGGGTCTCCGCTCTACTCAGTCTAACGAGGAACATCCCCCAGCGGAACATCGATCTGCCTGACCCAGGAGCTGGCGAGCATCGCGGGTCTCTGGGGACGGAGCACCCTTGTGTGTGCAGGCGGGGAAGGGGCCTTCATCCTTGTGCTACACAAGCTCCCGGCGTCTGTGAGCGGGTCCACTGCTGTCCCATCTCTTTCCCTTTCGGGGGAGCCTCGTGTTTACTGACTGAGACGGTGCGAGTTTCAGAATTAAATTTACATACTGCGGAGACACACGACATGACCTTTTCAGTGGTAGCATGAAGAGACGACACCGGCCAAGGGGGAAGAACGAGGGGGAAACTGGGTTCTTGACCGCATCTGCGAGTGGGCTGACCCCGCTCACCAAAGCCCCGTCCCGAAACGCTGCCAGCAGGGCCGGTCACAGTTACTGAACTGATAGAACAGCCTCGGTAGCCATCGTCCCCCCACATTTATAGAGGCCAGGCTGCGTGGATGGAAATCGCCATTTCTGTACCTGAGACTTTGTACAGAAATGTGAGCGATCCACGTGCCCGTGTCCACGCCCGCCTCTGAGAGCAGGGAGGGCGCACACGGGCGGGTGGGGAAAGAGCCCGGGGTGTACACGTGGCCAACGGCCAGAGGGAACGCCTACTTACAGCTTTTGGCTTATACGGGGGCTGGATCTCTTTGCGTTCCAGTTTCTCCCAGTCAATATACCGGAAGAACGCGTGCTCTTTGATGTCCCGCTCGCCTTCCGGCCCGCAGCCCAGACGTTTGCCCGGGTGCTTGGTCATCAGCTTCAAGAGAAAGAGAAAGGGTGGGGTTAGTGACCTCTGGGGAGCCGCCTGAGGCACAGAGCACCCCGCTAAGGAATTAGGGAAGGAAGGACCCTGCAGAGCCCCAGCCAAAACTAACAGTAATATCCATGGACACTGTAATTGGGGGAAAGGACTTAAAAAAAGAGCCCCAGCTAATTTTTTGTTGCTGTTATTGTTAATCTTCACCAGAGGATATTTTTCCCATTGATTTTTTTTTAGAAAGAATGAAAGGAGAGGGGGAGAGAGAGAGAAACATCCATGTGAGAGAGACACATCGATTGGTTGCCTCCCTCACACGCCCGACCAGGGTGGGGATCGAGATACGTGCCCTCGGTGGGCCGATGCTCTAACCACTGAGAACACCAGTCAGGGCCCAAGTAACTTTTATTTTTTTATTTTTCATCCCAGCAATGCTTTCCTGGCCAAGGGCTTTGTACCAGGAGGACCCGACAATAGTGCCTGCAGGCTACTCGTCCAGAGCGAGATCCCTGTGGTTAACCGAGGCCCGGACTTCAAGTTAGAAAGGTCACCACGATGAATCTGGGTTCAAGAATAAGATTTATGCAATCACTGCTGCATTGATGAGAGCAGCTCCAGTCTCTTCCCGCCCTCCTCCCGCCACGAGAAAGCCGGAGGATAGCCCTGGCCACGGCCACATCCAGACAGTGTCGGCTTTCTCAGTAAGCCTCCGTGAAAGCAGAAGGAAATACTAGTCAGATGGGCCCAAGTTTCAAGTAATTACTTCCCGAAAGCTCATTAAACCGTCAAAGCCAGCCCGGCTCCTTTCCCTCGCCTCACACTCCCCCAGACTCCGCAGGGGCCTCCTGTGAAATTACTTATCAAACCCTCCATCTTCGGGCCTCGGAGCCGCGCAAGAGACCAGATGAATAGCTGCTCAGAGGCTAAACCAGACAGACTTCCTCTTGCGAGCAAATCAGAGGAGCTTGGATGTGTCTCCATCGGCACTTCAGCGAATGCACAGGGTGGACAGGAGTGGTGATTATTAACAAGTACCGACAAGAGGGCATCAAAACACAGCCCTGGCCGGCGGCTCAGTGGTTAGAGCATCGCCCTCGGACTGAAGGGTCATGGGCTCAATTCCCGGTCAAGGGCATGTACCTCGGTTACAGGTTCGATCCCAGCCCCCGTCGGGGTGGGTGCAGGAGGCAACCCGTCGATGTGTCTCTCTCACATAAATCTCTCCTTCCCTCCCTCCTTCCTTATCTCCACCCTCTCTTTCACTCTCTCTAAAAATCAATGGAAAAAAATATCCTCAGGTGAGGATTCTTTTAAAAAAAGAGAGAAACAAAAGTGATTGGGACATACAGGTCCAAAAAGCTTCCAGCGTTGACCAGACACAAGGAGCCCATGGCGTCAGAGCTCTTAGATTGTTGCCCAGGATTTGCTGATTGAGGGGAAGGGAGGGGCCCAGCCAGTCACACCTATTCTGTTGGCCATTCCACTCAGCTGATTCCTGCTTACAAGATAACTTATCTCTGCCACCCTCTCCCCCCACCACCCCCCACCTCCCCCACACACACACAAACTTCCACATGTGCTCCACCTTCCAGGGGAGAATAACTGGGCACGTAGCGTTCTAAGCTTCGTCTTCACTTACACACACAACCCCACCTGGTTCTGACAATCACCCCTGCACTGGGCATTTATTTTCTCCATCGAATGACAAGGCAGGCGGCACGCACAGAGGTTAAGCAACTAGCAAGGACTCACAGAGCGTAAGGGGCAGAGCCAGACTGACCCCACCTCTAATTATAAGACGTGGGCTTTCAAGAGGAACGGGAGAGCTCTTCGAGTGCGGTTTCCCGAGGTATCTGTGGCTTGGTCAGGGAGGGTCTATGGAGGGCGAGCAAACTGAGCTGAGCCTTGAGATCTGTGTAGGGTCAGGATGGAGGATGGGAAGGCTATGGACAGTGGCCACAGAACCACCACCACCACTATCAGGAGGGCTCCGTGCACGGGGCAGGCTCATGCCCACGGCTTCCCGCGCCACGTTACACCTCCGTCTCCACAACAACACTCGGAGGCCTTAGCAACTCTTATCCTCACTTCCAGACCAAGAGGCTGGGTCCAGTAAAGGAGCCATTCGTCCCAAGCCGCACAGCGAAGCAGCAGCAGTGGCCGAGCAGCTGTGCCTGACCCCCGGCCCGCGGCTCTGCCCACAGCCCCTCCTGCCTCCACGCTGGACGGCTGTTCAAAGCGGGCGTGGCAGTCTGAGCAGAGATGTGCTGATGTTTTTCTTTGGTAGAAAATAGGGTCTGTCAGGATGGATATAGGAAGAGCATTTTCCCTGGGGTTGGGACTGCATTCCATAGCCTGGCTTAATTTTCACGTACAAGGAGCTGCCAAGCCAAGCCACTGCGGCCACAGCGGCACGAAGGGAGGCTCTGCGGTCCCCACCGGCTGGTGCAGAAGCTGGAGTCATCAGTGCCCGTCCCCGAGGGCCTCCCAGACGGACGCCTGGGGCACTGAAAGGAAGCCTTCAGCTGTTCCCTGAGCATCGCCCCCTCTTTGGAGGCTCGGCCTTGAGAAAAGCCCACACGGGACTCAGACCACTCAACTCAGCCCCCAGCCTCGTGGTTGGAAAGTCGCCCCAGTGAACCCTGAAGGTTCTGGGTCCTGAATTAACAGAAATCTGCTCTCCCAGGAAGCTGCTAACTGGAGCTGAAGCTGAGACCTGGACACTCGCCCCGTGGCTGCCTCAGCCCCGCTGTGCAGGCCGGCAGAGCGAGGGGCAGGCCCTGAGCGTGCACTGAGCACCTACTGTGTGCAACACCACTCAAGGAGCTTCCTGTTAGGTTAGGTTCTTAAACGCTCGCACAAACTCTGTCCAATGAATACTATTGTTTCCTTTTTAGAGATTAAAAAAACCCATCCCCCCCCCCCCCCCCCCCCCCCCCCCCCCCCCCACTTGCTTCAAACCATGCTCCCAGGAGGTGGAAGGTCAAGATCTGCAAAGGGCTCTTATCTCCAAAACCCCCCACTTTAAAAATTCCAATCGTGGGGGGTGCAAACCCAAATGCCCAGAGGAGCCGGCATGTGACAAGGCAGTGCCAGCGCTAGCAACAGTAACCATAGCTCAAGGGCTGGGGCAGAGCCCCCGGCGCTGTTCCCATTCACACGCACCAACGCCTGGAGTCACCGAGGACCCCGTGTGTAGGCCCGTCAGCATCCCTGATCTACCGATGCGGGCAGACAATGTCCCTGCGGTCCAAGGGCTAGCAGGCCAGGGTCAGGTCTGAGCCCAGGTGGCACCTGGCAGATCGGAGAGGGTGCTCTGTCTGGAGGGGCACTGGTTTCCAAGCCAGCGGACTGAGACCGCGTGTTTTAAGGGAAACTGGCAGCTGAATGCTTGTGGGAAATCCTGATTTTTCAATGCCCGCAGCCACCAAACAGACTGAAGGCTCAGGCACGCCTCTCCCTCCCACCCAGACCCTCAGGGCCTGCACCGCCTCCCCGGGCCCTTTTCCCTACAAGCCTCGCTTTGGCTCCTAATGAACCTGCAGGTCTCAATTCTCTGCCCTTGCCTCAAACCTCAATGAAAATACTTTTAACCAATTCACTTTAAGATGTTCGAGACTGAGCCTAGTTCACATGCGGTTTCCAGGGACATTTGCACATTAACAGAGGCAGCTGAACCGCCAAGCTTTGACGACTCGCTAAGAGTGGGAATTCTGCCAGCGTGACGAGGTGCGTCCAGACTGAGAGGCTGGTCCAAGCTGCCCACACCCAGGCCAGCTCCATGGCCTCTGACGCTCCAGAAGAGCAGCGCTGGGGGAGGGGAGGAAGACCACGGGAAATCTGCGGACACCCCAGGATCTGGGACTGCAGGCCTGCTTCATTCAGACACACACAGGAACCCGCCACGCCCTAACCTCAAGAACACGCCTGCACCACGGACTGCAGGGAGAGCTGACTTCAAAAGGCAGCGTTTCCGGGCCCTAGTGTCCGGAGGTCCCATGTTGCTTGCACACTTCCGTCACAGGAAAAGTGACCACCTCTGCACTTGATCTTAGCCAAAAGGCCGAGAAGCGATTGACCACCTCTGGATAATATGTTTAGAGGCACAGGGACCTTTTCAAACTGCAGAAGCACATGAGGTCATCCAAGAGGCATCAAAGGTGAGCCCACGGGCCTCCAGGGACTGGCCCGGCCACTGTGAGGCCTCCTGGCCCAGCACCAGACGCACCTTGCGACCCTTAGGAACAGGGCCCTGCCTGCCTCACACGTGCACCCATGTGCTACTTGCAGCCCTCTGTGTGTTGGGGCGGCTTAGGAAACGGAATCTGGGTTGCTCATCTGGAGAACCCCTCAAAGCAGCACTTCCTGGTGTTTTCTTCAAACAAAGCCATGCGCTCAGTGTTAACCACACTCATGCGCTGAGCCGGCGCGGCTGCCGGATCCGTGCCGCAGACCTCCACCTTCCCGTGGTTCCAGCTCTTCGGCTAAGCCCCTGGGCTCCCTGCCTCATTCCCGTGCTGGGCCAGAGGCTGGAGCCCGCCAGCAGCGAGATGCCGCTCCGGGTGGCCTGGACGGCGCAAACGAGAAAAAGCGCCCTTTCCTCTGGGAGGGAGCAGGCCCGCCAGGGCTTGGGGGTGGCCAGTGGGGTGAGAGGTGGAGCTCAGTCTCCTTCCCCCTCCCTGGGAGGGGCACCCTGTGCGTGGAGGCCCTGGCTTCGAGGCGCTCACTCACCCCTTTGCAGATGGCCACGGCCTCCTTGGACATGGACTTGGGGTAAGCCACGTTGTGCTCCATGATGGACTGGAAGAGTTCATCCTCGTCCTCCCCTTCGAAGGGCGCCTGCGGGACAGAGGACGGGTGGGCGAGTGGGCGAGTGGGCGAGGGGATTCCTCCCTGAGCCTCCCGAGCCAGCACCTCCGCCCTGGCCCACGGGGAGGCTGCAGGCTTCCAGCGAGAAGAGGAGGAAAATCGGCCAAGACTAGGGCCGCCACAAGGCACAAACTCAGAGAGCTTCAGACTGATGAGCGGGGATCAAGCTGACACTCTCTTGCAGGGAAGCCACACAGATGGTGGTGGGAGGCCTTTTCCTACAAATCACTCAAATTCAATTACCTGCCCGGCCAGCATCTCATACAGCAGGACTCCAAATGCCCACCAGTCCACCGACTTCCCGTAGGGCTGGTACGCAATGATCTGGAAGACAGAAGGCAGCCCGTCAGGGGGCGAGCAGGTGTCTGCAGCCGGAGACTGGACACACACCTTTGCAGTGAGAGTGGACGGCCAGGTGGCGGGGGAGGGAGGTCACCTGCCTACCGCGAAAGGTTAAACGGACTGTCCCAGTCCCAGGTGCAGGCCGCCGTCTAAAGCAGTGGACAGGGAGCTGGTGCCAGGCAAGCTGCTGCTCCCCATGGGGAGAGGGGTCCCCCGGGCAGCGGCCTGCAGGCCGGGGACGCCTGTGCATGCCACATGGCCGTTCGAGTCACTGCTATGTGCGCTCTTTTTAATTTTAATACAGCGAGTGTGAACTTTTAAAAAGAAAAACTGTATTTATTTCTCATTATAAAAGTAATAACATTTATACAACAATGTGAATTTACTTATCACTACTGAACTGTACATTTAGAAGTGGTTAAGATGGCAAATTTTATGCTTTTATTTACCAAAATTTAAAATTTTAAGTGAAAAAATGTAATAGCATTTATTAATAGTTTACTATTTATTTTAAAATATAGATAAGCTAAGAGAATCCCATTAAAATCACCCATAATCCTTTATCAACAGAAAACTTATGATTGATATTTGGTCTATTTCCTTCTAGATTCTTTTCCATGAATAGAGATTAAACTCTGTGTGTATGTGTTTTACATAAACATAAATACTTTGATGTGTGAAATATTAATAAAGTACTTTAGTCACTTAACATTTCCATGTTAATACTCCTATGTCAACATACTCAGGCTTAACTTGATATAGCGTCCCATTGCCTGGCTACAAAACCTGTCTTACCAATTCCCAACGGGCGAGGTTTCTTCTGACGCTACAATACAGACTCTTGTAACGAGGCATTTCCACATTTGTCCCCTTATTTCTGTAAGTCAGGTCCCTAAGATGGAAGGCAGTGTGGAGGTAACACCCTCCTGTTTTATACAATGTATTATACATTTCTATGTACAACTTTTCAAGGGCACAAATAAAGTGATACTTTTTTAAAAAAAGAAAAAGATGAATTCCTAGAAGCGGATTTTCAGGGCTCAAACACTATACACAGTGATCAGGGTTTTGACACTTATTACCAAATTGCCAGGACATGGGAGTGTCTAGAATACCGATGAGCATCCACATTTCTGATCGGGCATAAAACTCTGTCGGAGGGTTCAGAGGTGACAGAGCAAAGGTGGAAGGTGATGGTCTGGGGAAGCAGTTCAGACTTTGGATCCTGACCGCCACTCCTCCCAGTGGTGTGACTTGGAAGGAGTTGCCTACCTTCTCTAAGCCTCAGTTTCCTCAGTTTATAACAGTATCCATGCCGCGGGGTTTTGTGAGGATGGAAGAGAAACATGTGCTGTCGCATATCATGCCCTCAGATGTCTGCTATTACTGGGAAGTCCTGTAACTCAGTGACTGCTTGTGTGGCTAAATAAGTGCATCCTAACAAACGGGTCCACCGATCCAGCGCCGTCTGCCACCCCAGCTCCCACGCGGGTAGAAATGTGCTCGTGCGTGAGCCCCAGAGGACGCGGAGCTCCGTGGGGACTCCTGCACACTTGTGAAGCACGTCACCTCGACTGGATCCCCACGACAACCTAACGCAATCCTGCCACAAAGGAAAACGAGCCCGAGGAGGCGAGAGACGCTGCCTCCCCACCCACATGTGTGTGTGCCTGTGTGTGTGTGCATGTGTGTGTGCGTGTGCACATGTCCGTGATGTAAACTAGGTTCCTAGGAGAGGACCTGCTTTGGTGAAAGAGAATGCAGGGTTTAAATATTGTGCCACGTTATTAGTTACATGGGTGCTGCCGCACGATGTGGATGGCGAAGCCGGGAGGCCCGCCTGCAGCTTGCTCCTTGCGGACTGCGGAGAGGCCGCCTCCCCACCCGCGTGCGTGTGTGTGTGCGTGTGCGTGTGCATGTGCATGTGCGTGCGTGTGCAAGTGCATGTGTGTGTGTGTACGTGTCCGTGATGTAAACTAGGTTCCTAGGAGCGGACCTGCTTTGGTGAAAGAGAATGTAGGGTTTAAATATTGTGCCACGTTATTAGTTACATGGGGCCTCCAGTCTCCAGTTCCATGTGAGGTGACAGACAAGCCGAGGATGTCCATTTCCAAGATTCTGTGCCACACCCTCAGTCCCATTCCTTAGAAACCAGTAGCAGACTGTACATACAGTCACCTCTCTGGGCACCAACTCAGAGAAAAAGGAAAAGTATCGCCTGGCACAAATGTTTGTACTATGACTTGTTGGGAAACTCATTCTGCAACTGACCATCTCCTTCGGGAAGGGGGACTAGAATTCGACCTTTACCCTGTCATTTGTACCTGCATCACAGGAAGGAACGCCAGGTCTTCCAGGGCTCAGCACACCTACTGCCTTCCGCCTCACACCAGCCCAGGGACCTCTCCCGCCTTCACAAACATTCTGATGTCACAATAAGCAGGCACCACATGGCCATGAGCCACAGTAGCTGAAGGAGGATTTTGCTGATTGTGGTGGATGGTTCTGTTGAGTTTAATTAAGCTTTCTCCCAAACCTGGGTGTATCTGGGCCTGAGCTCTGGGTGTGTGCTAAGCAAATCTGTATGTGTGATCTCTAAGGACTGACAGCTCAGAGGGCCAGGGGGGTTGCTCCGCGCAGCACCGGGTGGGGGCGCAGTGCGGGCATGAGCCGGGGTGCACTCACCTCAGGGGCGATGTAGTCCGGAGTGCCGCAGAACGTCTTGGTGGTCACCCCGTCCCAGATGTTCTCCTTGCACATGCCAAAGTCGGCGATCTTGATGTGGCCCTCGGAATCCAGCATCACATTGTCAAGTTTTAGGTCACTGTTATGAACATAAGAATGTAGGAGCTTAATACACGTTATTTATTTTAAGTCAACCAACGGCCACTCACGTTGAGCGAAGCACTGTGCTGGGTGTGTGGGGGACAGAAGGGCGTGTGAAGCAGCCCTGGCCCTCCAGTAGCCGATCACCTGGCAGGAAGATCAGGAAAGGTCCACAAACCCCTGTGTGCTGCTTTTTCTGCACAGCCAACTGCGCCCAGCTTCTCGCGAGGCCCAGCGAGACGCCGGGCAGGAGAACACCCCCCCAGGATGCTGGATGCTCACGGACTGACGTGTGTAACTTAAGGGCCCCTTGCATTTCATAGAAGAGATTTTTTCACAAAATTGTTATTTTTAATATGTTTTTTATTGATTTCAGAGAGAGGAAGGGAGAAGAAGAGGGAGAGAGAGATAGAAACATCAACGATGAGAGAGAGTCACCGATTGGCCGCCTCCTGCACACTCCCGGGATTGAGCCCCAACATGCCTCTTAAGTTAGTCTGAATTGAGTTGCTGTCGCATTTACAACTAAAGGAACACAACCTGGACACATATGCTGGCACCTCCTACCTGTGTCTGCGAGTTCTCA